CGTACAAAGCCGCCGGTTGGGGGTAAGAATGAGCCAGGCCTTTTACTCGTGAGGGGAACTGTCGCTGATGAGGGTGGGACGAAGAAAATCAAATGGAATGAGACCCATGTGGTGAACCCTCAAGGAAAAAGAGAATCTCGTTTCTTGACCGAGTTAATTGGCGGTGGAGGATCGGGTGCTGTGATGCGTGACGGCACGATTGTGTTTCCCATGCAGGCCAAAAACAGTGATGAGGAACGCATTTTACTGTCCATGAGTTTTACCCCGTCAGACAAAAAATGGGAGCTTTCATACACCGCGACTGGTAAGGGCTGCAGGGATCCAACCCTGGTGAAGTGGAAAGAAGACGAATACGGCGAAGAACTCTTCATGATGGCTCATTGTGCTGGAGGCTACTATGATGTTTACAGTTCCACCTTGGATGGAGTCAATTGGAATACGTTGGGTGAGCCAATTAACCGCGTTTGGGGCAACTCACACAATCGAAAGGGGTACGGTGTCCAGAGTGGATCCACCACCGCAATCATTGAGGACAAGGAGGTGATGCTCATCACCGCGCCGGTGTATGCGAAGGACAACGAAGGTGGAAAAGGTCGGCTCCATCTTTGGGTGACGGACAAGGCGCGTGTGTATGATGTTGGGCCGATATCCCGTGAGGCTGATGACGCTGCCGCGAGCTCCCTGTTGATGAGGAGTGGGAATGAAAAGTTGATCTCAGTGTACGAAAAAAAGAAGAGCGACGGGTCATACAGTCTTGTCGCCGTGAGCCTGGGGAAGCAGCTGGAGCGGATCAAATCCATGGTGAAGAAATGGAAGGATTTGGACAGCGCCTTGCATTCATGCCGTTCCGTTTCCAGCGGCACTGTCGACTTGCCAACGAAGGGTATGTGCAATGGTCCTGTTCCCACTGATGGGCTTGTTGGCTTCTTGTCTGGTAACTTCTCTGAGAACACATGGAGAGACGAGTACCTCTGCGTGAACGCAACTGTGAAGAATGGGGAGAGAAGGGTTCCCAATGGATTGACGTTCAAAGGGTCTGAAGCAGGGGCGGTGTGGCCTGTTGGCGACATGGGGCAGACTGTGCCGTACTACTTTGCTAACAACGAGTTCACTCTTGTGGCGACGGTTTCCATCCACGAGGTGCCGCAGAGTGGCAGCAGCCCCATTCCTTTGATGGGCGTGAGGATGAATGACACCAGCAGCACGGTGCTCTTTGGTCTGTCGTACACCCATGAAAAGAAGTGGCTGGCCATACCGGGTAATGTGGAGTATTTTGATGGTTGGGAGCCAGACAGGACGTATCAGGTGGTACTGCAAATGACTCTTGATGAATGGACTGTCTTTGTGGATAAGGAGGAAATCCAGAAAACGAAATATAATACGAGTCTGTTTGACTCGCACAGGATTTCACACTTCTACATCGGTGGGGACAGTAAGAACCAAAGTGCAACGGGCGGCCATGTGACTGTGACCAACGTCATGCTGTACAACAAGGAACTGTTGGGAAGTGATCTGTATGAACTCAACGCCAGCAAAGTCACTATTCCATCACTGAGTGTTGAGGAACAGCCCACAGGGCAGGCGGCCAGCACAGACGACTCGGTTGCTTCCGGATCAAGGAGTAAAGAAAGCGCCACCGCTGAGAAATTGACAGAGGGTGATCGTGATAAACAAGATGAAGAAAGCGTCCTTAATTTGGTGCCTGTGGCGCCCCCTTCCACGGTTGTCGCGGGATCATCTGTTCCTAAACCTGCCACCGCAGCGGAGAGCGCAGAGAATTCTCTTCCAGATGACAATATCCAGCTTTCCGGAGGAGAAAAGTCTCCGCAATTCACGCCGACTGGAGAAAAGGAATCGATGCAGCGAGGTTCAGATTTGCAGACACAAGACCTACAGTCAGCGGAATCAACGGAGTTCAATGATGTTGAAATGTCCTCTGAAAGTAATGATACAGAACAAACAGTGGAGGAGGGAGAAGCAAATGACAAGAGTGGCGGAACAACGTCCTCAGTGGCTGTATCATCGGATATGGATCCGACCACCGAAACAGTTGACGGTGAGCACCAAGTGCAACAAAGCGTTGAGCTTTCCTCTGAAAACAACGAAGTGCGGTCCACTGGAACCGGAACTACTGGCACGGAGCGAAACCTCAGCCTCGAGGCGAGGGACGGAAATTCCGAGAGAACAATGGGCTCAGACAGCAGCCTCACTCCTTCAAAGAGTGACGCCGAAACCACATCCGCGGAGAACACCGACGACGTCTCTCGGACTGAAGGAGACGAATTTCCCGTTGAAAACGGCGAGGAGGTGCCACAGACAGTCGACACCGCATCGGGCAATGCGAGCACCCTGCCTGGGGAAACCGAGATCTCATCGAAGTCCAACGCAACAGCACCCTCGGACGCTGGCATTTTGCTTGAGAACGGGCATTACAGCGAGTTGGCGGGCATGGCTCTATTTGCTGAGAGCACGTGCATGGGTTTGTGTCTCGGA